TTGGCCTCTTGATCTAAAGAATATGATTCGCGAGGATTGGACAAACATGTTTCACAAATCCTTTCGGTGGCCTTTCGGCCGCCAGTGGTGTAAAAGGTTTTCTTCCAAGAGGTGATTTGTCTATCATGTCCCTGGACCACGACCATCGAAGACGCTCCACATGGCCAGATATTTTTGATGTGCAACAAGATGCCTCGTAGTGAGCTCAGGATGCCTCGTAGGGTTGCGAATCATGACATGGCGCCCTGGCCACTGGTCCTGTAGTTGCAGCTCTGCTCACAAATACAATGCAGTCAAATACAGTTTCAGAGCAGATGGCACAAACCCCTAGATGTTTTGTTTTTCTTTTCGGACGTTGGGGGTCCATATAAACCACCTTTTGGCTGTTGTGCCACTTGAATATTTTGGGGACTAGAAAAACCAGCTTTTGGTGGTTGTGACATATGTGTGTCTTTGCATGTTTTGGCCTACAGTTCGAGGATGCCCTTCTCTAAAGTCTTTGGGAAATTCTATCATTCCAGAGTTTGACACATTCTGATGGCCTGATGGCCAAAACAGGATGCCCTGACTGAGTACCCGGGGATATGGCCAGTTGACTGGTATATGTTGTCATTTTGATATTCACAAAACTGTGCTGTTTCGCACACACCGCACCTCTAACTGAACGTAACATGAATTACTGTATGTCGCTACCAGCGGGTGCCTCGTGAGTAGCTGCTCGTTCAATTAGCGACTCGCATCATTCGGTCTCTACATGTCACTGTTTTGGGTGCCAGTCCCAATAATCAGTTCTTACTTCCTCTACAGAATTCCCATCATTTTGGCTCACTCTGGTGCTGATGCGTGTGGGGGGGGGCCTTTAGTTTTCTTCAGCCTTGCAGCCCAGGCTGCACCTTTACTCGCTTCATAAGCGCTTGGGGCGCGGGCCCCAGAAGCAGCCCCAGCAAGAGGTTATTTCTTTGACATGTGGACCCTCTAATGTTGAAACTTCAGTTGAAGCGGAAGCGTACACCCGTGAAAACGCAGTCCAACCGCTTTGTACATGAGGTACTCTTTGAGAGTTGTGCTCCATCAATTTGATGGTCACGTTGCTGTTAGCATCCTTCCAGGAGCTTCAAAGTGATCGAGCTTGAGATCTGAGGATAGGGTGACGGCTCGCGGGCCTGTTTTACAGATCACGGACAGAGACTCCATTTGGAGGTCACGAAGACCTTCAGGTCCTGGTTACCAGGGTTTCTTTTTGGGAGCCTGGGCACACTGGTTCAGCTCCCCCTCAATTTCACCGTGCGCAACGAGGCCCCGCACAGACGCGCGGAAGGGCCGAGACTATTCCTTGTACTACCAGGCAGGGACCGAACTTCGGCCCGAAGGACCCAACTGGCCATGGGGTACATCAGGCTGGAACGGGTCAGCCGGGGACGACAGGGTGCATTTGAGCCATCATGATGCTCCCTTGATGCTCCCCTAATGCCTTTCCATCGCCGCGGCTTGTGTTCAGTACAGCACTGGAGCGCTCGATCGTCGGACCGACATGACTCCGCACATGACTCCCCCGGACCGAGCGAAAGGCGTTGAACAACACGCTCAACCACGACACCGAAGCCAGCCTCCGGGCGGTGCCTGCCTCAGCTGAAGAGTTCTCGAGCGAGCCCGCGTCAGGTCGACGTCGGAGGTTTCTTGCGTGGCGGCTGGTGCATGGCATACTGCCAGAAGGACGAGTTGTTATTTTTTGTGCTTTTTTCTTTTAGTATTTTAGTATTTGTTTCTGCATGGTTTGGACAAAAGTGCTTGAACCATGATCAGTTCAAGATGTTGACTTGTTAGTTATTGCAAATTTGGGAAGTTATGAACATGCCATCTCCCAGTTCGAGACTGACGGTGGTGTGCCTTGCGAGCATGAGAGTGGAACCCAGACGCAAACCAGGGTTACAGAGTGATTGGGCCCAGCTTGACCATGCCTAAACTGGTGGTATTTGTATCCATTGATATAGGCTATAGGCAACATCTGTGGACTCTCAGAGCACCACTGTCTTTTGCGGGCTTAACAGTTGAGGCAGCTTGTATGATTATATTAGGGATATCTAGTGATTTATATTGATTTATTTTATGTATAAATTATATACATGTTCTTTTGCGTGGTGCAAAGGAGGACGGTTCTTCCATGTGTGTGTGTGTCCAACCCTGGAAAAAGGGTCTTCCAACACTTTTCCTCATAGGCAGGGGGGCAGTGGACCACCATCACTCACTGCCCAACGAAGACAGTGATGGATCGGTCGTGAAGCAATGCGGGACGCCGCATTGTGTACCTGCCGAGTTTTTTTTCCACAAGCTGTCACCCTACTTTTCCACGATTTGATTCATGGTTCTTCATGCTTCCACCCCCAAACAGGTTTTCCCACCGCAGACGTTTTGCCGCTGTGCGCTTTCCGCAGTCACGTATGAAAACTTTTTTGTTGAAACATCTACAATTGCGCTGACTTTCCACCTTACCGTTGAGCCATTCCTTTCCTCGGGAGATTGCGTTAACTGAAAATCCAAGTTCGAAGTGTGTCCTGCTCAGCCGTCCCACTCGGGTGCTGAGTGTGATCCCCGTCACAGGGGCGCCGTTCTTGCATGGGAAAGCACACACCCCAACGCACCACCGCTCACTGGAACTTCACAGGAAGGCACCGACACCCTCACAGAATCAACTGACATACTGGCCGCCGGGCCAAAAAACGGTTCTTGAAGAATACATCGGATATCAACTTCACCCCCAATGAGGCAGGTTCCCCCACCCCCCCCCCCGCTGAGTTTTACTCCCTACCTATTTGGGGCAACATAGGGAAATGGTACTCGACACACTTGTGTGTCGGTGCCTTTCCCTGTGTTGTTCCTTTTCTAGTCTTTCCTACCCGGGCGGTCTAAGACTAAAGTCCCGCTCCCTAACTATTGCACCTAATTCGGACTGCTAAGTAGTCGGTAACTAATGCTTGTTGAAACCTTCTGTTGATCGGACCCAGCACTTCTTTCCGTTCCTTCAAGTCAAGGGCTAAGTATTCAGTAACTAGAGTGCTAGGTAGTCAGTAACTAGAAGGTTTTGTAACTAGTGGGCCTCGTAACTACCCCTATCTTTCTTTCTTCCCCTCTTAGCGCTGCTCTTTCTGTGTTTCTTTCCTTTTGTTTCTAAGGCTTTTTAGGTGACTATTTAGTTTTCTCACATGCGCGCCGAAAAAGCGCCGAAGCCGGCGACCTGTCTGTGTGTGTCTGTGTGTGTCCACCCCTGGACAGAGGGTTTGAAAAAAGCGCCGAACGCGGCGACTTGTGTGTGTCCAACCCTGGAAAAAGGGTCTTCCAACACTTTTCCTCATAGGCAGGGGGGCAGTGGACCACCATCACTCACTGCCCAACGAAGACAGTGATGGATCGGTCGTGAAGCAATGCGGGACGCCGCATTGTGTACCTGCCGAGTTTTTTTCCACAAGCTGTCACCCTACTTTTCCACGATTTGATTCATGGTTCTTCATGCTTCCACCCCCAAACAGGTTTTCCCACCGCAGACGTTTTGCCGCTGTGCGCTTTCCGCAGTCACGTATGAAAACTTTTTTGTTGAAACATCTACAATTGCGCTGACTTTCCACCTTACCGTTGAGCCATTCCTTTCCTCGGGAGATTGCGTTAACTGAAAATCCAAGTTCGAAGTGTGTGTTCGATGAAAAGGCCAGGCCCTATGGCCTCAATGGGTGTTTTAAAGGTAATGTGGTATTGTCTCTTTTGATGTTCTATATGAAACCACTAGATCTAGCAGCATGGGATTGTTTGGATCTTGATTTTTCTATAGCCTTTAGGTTCATGTGCTTTCGTATCTCCTCCTAGGATGGACTTCTGTGCAGTCCACCACGTCCTTTGTCTTCCCGCCACAAGGCTTTGCCGTTGATCCGGCGGATGACGTACCTCTTGCTCTATGAAGAGAGCACAGGCATACGTCCCGACCGGCCATGGGCGGCGGTTCCTCGTGCTTCGGCGGGTTGGGGGGTCCAAGCTTGGACAGGCTCTGTGGTGCTAAGAGGGGCAACCAAGTGTTGGTAAAATACGTGTAAATGCAAAGAGGAGAGACTCTGGGTAGTATTGGATCATTGACAAATTGACGTCCAGGAACAACAAGCCAAATTAGCGGTTGGACATCTGGCGTAACGGATGTTGGAACAACGGCAAATTCCCGCTGCAGTGGCCTAAAACTATGACCTTTGAAATGGAGGTCCTGGGAGTCCCGGCCCCTCCCCAGCTTGAGCCACTCCCACCACTTCTACCCCCCGGTGCCTCTCCGCACGCGGAACTCCGCGCGCCCCGCGGGTTGCGGCCCGGGTCGCGTGCGAGGTACACAGCGCTTGCACAAGGGCGGCACCGTGTGGAAGGGCGACTCCGAGCGGCCGGCTCGGGCACCCCGAGGGGGTGGGGCGGAGGGGGGTGGACGTGGTAAGAAAGGAGAATAGGACTAGGATGGAGAACAGGTTTGATTCTTTTTAGAGGGAAGACGCACTGCCACCTTGTTTGTTTTGATGGATGGGGATGGCTTTCACCATCACTGCGCTGATTTTCACAAGACCAAGCAGGCGTTTCTTTTGGCAAACTTTTCCGGGGTCAGACGGTATAGGGGAATTTTGCACGGAGATCCATGCTGTCAAAGCCAGGTTGATAGCAGGGTTTTGTGGCTTGCAGTCCTCACATACTTCCACTCCTTAAATTGAAGTGACCTCCACCCAACTTGCCAGCCGCTTTCTAGGGAGAATTCATCAAAGCCTAGCGGCCTAGCGTCAGTCATCACCTGGAGGCTGAGAACGACGTCATAGGTTGAACAGAAAGTAAGCTCTCCATATATTTCACTACTTGCCCATATGTTTCAATCATCCAATCGCAAAGACCGATTTCCCAGAGGACCACCACAATCCTTCGCACCCCGCCATCACTCCCACGCCATCGCCCCCACATGTTCGTCAGTGTGTTTAGCACGGCGGATGGCCATGGCGGATGACGCTTCGCACGCCTTTCAGCTTGCGCTAGAAGGACTGAAAGACTTGAAGGTGACTCGTCCACTCTGGAAATTGATCTGGTCCACCGGGTGAGGAACCAAAAGGGATGATGTGAGGAACAGTGAGGGGATCAATCAATCCCAGATAGCCTTTGCCTTTGCACTTATGTCACAGCCATGTGAAGGAGATGATACAGCTTCCAGATCCCTTTGAGGGTTTGATGGTTTGATAAAGGTGGTATAGAACTGCGATCACAATGAATGGAATTGAATGGACACTAAATACAAAATACATCAAAATACCTTCATGGCCAGACAGACATGTACTTGCACGTACCTTTTTTCTGGCTAATCTTGAAGTACGAGATGACTCAAAACAAAGTGAAGTGATATGAAGTGATACTGTGATAGTGATACTAGTTACTAGTACCCCTTGAAAGTCCCCTTGAACACATGCAATGTGTTTTCAATGTTTGTTCAGTACCTTGGGGACTCCCATTCAAATGTCCAAAGCTCACATAAGAACACATGTTGCATGAACACAAACGTTACTGTTACCGTTGATTTGATGATGCATGAAATCCAGGAATTCACAGCGCCACAGGTCGCTGGAGAAATCAGCAGAATGCCCGAGAAATCCATGCAGTAGCAAAATTCATACAAGAGCCTGCCGATAGGCTGGCTGAAGCTTTTTAAATGTATAAGTGAGAACATATAGGGGATGTGGGGGAGACGTGGTTGAATGGTGTTGTTTTTGTAGTTTTTGGTGAGCTCGTGATGCAAAAGATGCAATATCAACCTGTGTCCGCATCACTTGCATCATACGTCTGTTGGGGCACCTCGTTTTGGAATGACAGGCTGAGATATAAAATGGATTGCACATGATTGCACAAGTTCCTTTGAACTCGAAGTGGACTCCGAAGTTTCCAGTGAGTGGAGACCCCAAGCAAGAATTGGCAAGAACGGGTTACCTCCCTGTACCTCCCCCAAATGCTTGGCCCGCCAGCGCCAGAAGAAAAGCGCGCAAGTACAACTTTAACTTTCGGTGGTGTTTCATAGGGGCCCCTAGATTCTTTTGACTTCGACTATAAAGGATCCTATGTGGCCCTGTATATTATTTTTTTAAATGGCAACGGTTGCTTCTCTCCATGCCCATGCTGGGTCAACAAGAGCAGCTCAGTCGACAAGACTTAAACAGTAGGACATCCCACAACCTCTTTACCGGAAGTAGATTGTCAGGGATTTGTACCAGCACCCTCCAACAGGTCACCACCTGAAGGAGACCTGTGGGCGCTGCTACAGGGATGTTCCTTTCTTGCTTCGACACCCACGCATTGCCCTAGACTGCTAGACCAAACTCTCAGGTGAAGTGTGAGGTGATCAATGGCAATGGCTCCGAACCCAGATTCGACCTCTTCCACTTTGAGTGCCTTGCCCAAGAAGATGGAGAGGGTCCTTGGTGCTTATTCCTTTATGTTGCAAAGTTCATTCAACAATTCTCTCTTAGCAAACGTTAACATTAACATCAACATCCCCCCACCCCACCCCACTCAAAGTCAGTCGCGCAGTGTAGCGTAGAAGAGCTTCTATTGTATAGGTGAGCACTTAGACAGCACGCAAGAAAAGACTGTGAAACAAAAAACTCGCTAAACGAGAAGTTGAAAAGAATAGCTGCACTTACCTTCCGAAAAAGAACTATGTTTTGCTATTTTCTAAACGATAGAATTTCAAGGCAAATGTTTGAAAATGTGCACGGCGCTACAGCGCCAGTAACATTTTGCCGAAGACAGTGCTCATTTTGCGCCGCGGCGCAATAGGGGGCGTGCACCTTGTACAGTAGTTTCTTGTGGTCGTTCGTTCCCAGCCTAAGATCCTAAAGTGAACAGTCTATTGAATTACCGATAAATCTCTGAGGCACAGCACGCCTTGAGGCCCGGCCCAGGTTTGATTTTCCATTATTGGGGCGTTCTAGGTGCAGACCGCAGACCGAGAGTTTGTTTAGAAATGGAACCCAATGACCCAATGAGTTCATCCCCATTCAGGTGGTCCATTTGTTCCTGGAAGACGCGCATCGCGCCTCGGCGGGAAGGGTCACGGGTCACTGGACGCCCTGATAGTCAGTGTATGGATTGATAGACAAACATGCGCAGTTCCAGAAGCCCTATAGACTATATTACAATATATATGTTATATATTTGTAGTTAGTTATATGTGTTTCTTTGTAAACAATTAGAAGCAAGATATGACTTCTCTTCTCTAGGCTTCAATTCTTCATAATTCTTCTGAGCTGGGGGGGCTTGCATGTCAAAGCATTCTCGTTGAGATGCCTCAGATCATGTACTCACTCCACTTTGTGTTTGAATTTGCTTCCCCGGGTCAGCCTGGGTTCCGGGTCAAACCAGGTGGCAGAATTTGGTGCTCATGTTTGGATAAGGTAAAGGATTGTAACACAAATTCAGCCTGGTCCAACATACAAAGGTTTACTGCAGTGGGGAGTACTACTCTCTCCGAACATGTTTGTTCAATAGATCTATTGGTTTCAAAACAAAGCCACTGTTCTGGTGAGTGCAGTTTCTTTGAGGACAAAGATTGGCTCTTCCATCAAGTGTGTGCGTTTGTGGAAGATCGATCGATCCGGGATCCCGGCACCACCAGCCCGCCCTGCCTTCCGTGCTCCGGTCGCCCCGAGTGTGCCACGCGCGTGCGCCACGCAGGTCTTGATGGAAAAAGGCGTCCCGTGGCGCTCCTGGACCCTGGACCCACGGGCGCACAGCAACTACGCTCCGGCGTATGTGGCCTGGGAGCGTTTGGGTCGGTCAGCTGAATGAGGTGTTTGGACAAACATCAAACATCCAAGGTTTGGAGTGCGTGTGTGTGTGTGTGTCACCCTCCGTTTCCAGGAGTCCCTTTGGTTCGTTCACTAGTCATGCAGGGGGCTCACGGGTCCGTTCCTGGCGTGAGCCAACGAAGCTCCAGGTTCAGACTAGGATATCGAGAGGGGGCGCTCTTTTCACCTACCTGCATCCAACACATTGACACCATTGGTCCTCCCTGCCGCTGCTCGTTGTTTCCATGGTTTTTCTTCATGATACTTCCCTTAAACCGATTTCCCTCAGCCGCCTTCCGCTGTCGCGCAGCTGCAGTCACGCATCAACATTGTTCAACATCCAACTTGAGCTGACTCGATCGCCATTCTGTTCCCTCGCTCTTTTTGACGTTGATTCTGATTCACTGAAAAACCCAATGTCAAAGTGTGTGATTGTGTGTTTTTTCTGGACGGCTTGGAATGGAAAGGGGAAGGGGCTGACGACAACTGCCTAGGGTGCCCTACTTTGTCCATGCATGTCGATGCCCTAAGGCGTATCATCGTCAAGAAAGGCGTATCTTTGCATGCGGAGCGGCATTCCAGCAGTCAACTTTATTTGATCGCATGTCTTTGGTTGATCCTCTGTGGCCATGGGGAATGGCTGGTTGGAAGTCTTCTGTGCATGTGTTGAAACTTTTGTGTGTGCATGGGGGCTTTATGTTTTCTTGATGTTTTTTGATGCTCATCAGCCCATTTTGGGTCGAGAATTGATGAAAGGCAGCTGGTGAGAAACAGGTTGTAACTTGTAACTTGGAATTGCCTCAGTGACATTTTTATGATTGAACTGTTAGTTTTGATGCCTTCTGGTGCATGCAAAGATTTTGGGAAGAGATTGTTGGATCAATCCGACCTTGATACTCTTCTGGCCCGTGAGCAGTTCCTGTTGGAGAAGAAGCCGGTCAAGAATCTCAACAGATTCCACATAACGCAGTGGTACCGGCGGCGAGAACCCCACAGCGACCGGAGCTGTAGTGTCTGTGCATCCCTTGCAGGTGGGGTCAGGACCAGAACAAGTCCAGAAGCGCTTGGCCTCACTGGGACTCATACAAGAGTGGGACATGGCAGCCACGACAGTGACGGGGCACAGCGTCGGCACAGGCCTCGTGATCGCACAAGTTGCGCATGGAGAGGTTCGCAACTTTGCAGTGCATTTTCCTTCAATAGGCGGCTGATAGAATGCTCTTTGTGAAGCAGGAGTTGCAAACCCCTTGTGTCGATGCAGCTACTGGACCCCTTGTCGCTTGGTATTGCGCTTCTAACTGGGAGCGGGCTGTGATTCTGTTTGTTGTCTCCTGCCTGCTTGCTGTCGCTTCTTTGCTGCGCTGGGGTGGTGGGGTGCGCGCGACAGGTCAACTATTAAGATTTGGTGGTCACAAGCGTGGCCTTCCGCAAGGGAGTTCAATGTGTTCACCTGAATGATGACAAGTTTTAGATTACCTGAAGCCGCTATTGCCATGGGGCTCCAGGTGCGTGATGTGCCTTTCGTAAACATGTGCCTTGCTCTAAACACTGTGGCCTTGCAGTGATATGCCTTTCAGACACTGCCTTAGGGCGCTTGCTTGTAGCTAGGGATGTCCATCAGATGAATCATCATCTTCTAGGGCACGTTTCCCTGACACTCCATGTGTGGCACAGATGTATTTACTTACGTTGGGGTGGTTTCAGGAGTGGATGTATGCAAATATTCCATACCTGGAGTGTTTAGGATTTGTTTCTCCCTTCAAGTCGTGGCAACGACAACAAGTTGCAGACAACCAGGGTCTATAGCGTTAGTATACCTCATTTCCAAGAACTTTGTATCGCCTGTTTTTGGACTTGAGGTGGCTACACACCCTGGAACCAGGTGTTTTTCACCACCAACAGTGGCCATCCGAACTCGCATTGGACATACGGGCTCCTTTGTCGAAACTCCGACCCAGGTGCGCCTTCGTTCGCTGGGCACCACGTCCAGCACGAAGCTGGTTGGAGAGGTCGGACGGAGAGTGGGGTCTGCCATTCGACCGTTAGGCGGCAGCTAAGGCCCATAAAGGGGCCATACATGGGCCATGCTCATTGATGGGTCACCTGTATGGGCATTGTAGCAATGATGGTCATTGTACCTGTACGGGCCAATGGCCCCCTTATCATTGTATAGCAAGAGCTGTGGCCTGTACAGGTTGGAAGCGGTTTTGGTCGTGTCAAGACCGGCGATGCCGGGCGATGTCGGGAGCGGCACGCTGCGCAAGATGGCCCTGGTTTACCCACTAGCACTGGCAACTTGAGGGAAGACAATCGGACCTTGTAGTGGGGTTGTTGCGACATTGTTGTTTTGGGGGGTGAGCGTAGATACCGGCCAGAACATGTCCTTCAAAATAGCAAGCTCAAACAATTTCCAGGCGTGAAACCCTACTCTTGTGGAGGTTGTGTTTTTAAAACAATTGAAAACAGATTGAGATTTGTGTTCCCTGCAAGGGTTCGCGTCACTCTTGCATGTCACCGTGTAACAAGTATAGGCCAATTCTTGGACAGAAAGACACGAAAAGCGTTGCCGCCGCCGGTGCAATACCCAAAGATGCAAGGTTGTCAACCCAGCGCGAGCCCTGCCTTATCCTGCCTTCCAAGTCATAGGGGCAAGCCCTGCGGACAACGATTTGTGAACAACTGGCAATGATACTATGCACTTTTTTCCTGTGCGTTCGAGCCATTCCACCAGGTGTACAATGGCTCGACATCATCGGAAAGCCAGGGCTTCTTGGCTTGCGAAAAATCTATGGCCCCACGGCGTGACCGACCTGTGGCCTGTGAGGTCCCAGCTTATACGCGACACCGCCCACCAAAACAAGGCTATAGATGGTGCTTTACATGACGATCATGCCCATCTTTTACTGCTTACAATTACAATCGTTTGTTGAATCCACTTACCGGTCGTTTATCAATATTTGATTGGGGATGGTTGACACCAGCAAGCGCTGGATCAGAGTGGGCACCACCGTACCTCAACTGCGGGCGCTAGATCACAGCGGGCGCCGCCAGACCTCGACAGATACAGTGCAAGATAGAATTTTGGAATATATGCAAGAATTGCATACATACCACATACAAGTTGCCAGAGTGAGTGCCAGAATTTATGCCGGCTACAATGCCAGAATATATACCACATACAATGTGCCAGATAACACGTCAGAATTTATGCCAGCTAGAATGCCAGAATATTTGCCAGGTTGAATGCCAACAAATAATAGGCCAGATGGAATGCCAGCATAAATGCCAGATAGAAGACTGTATGCCAGATAGAATTATTGTGCAAGATAGAGTGCCTGCACATTTTCCAAGTAGAATGCCAGAAAGTATGCCAGATAGAATGCCAGAATGTAGGCTAGATAGAGTGCGAGACTGTATGTGAAAAAGAATGTCATCAAATATGTCAAACACATAAATACACTATAACACAATGCCAGATAGAATGCCAACAGCTTCTTTGTTCGCCAGATAGAACGCCAGAATGTATGCCAGAAAGAATGCCATGACTATTCCAGATACTAGGCTCGCGTACCAAGAAAAGAGCTAGACGATATATGCTAGGTAGAATGCCACATAGAATGCCAGAGCTTACGGCAAATAGAATGAGCCTGAAATTTTGTCAGATCGAGTAGCAGAATGTAGGCCAGATAGGATGCCAGAATTTATGCCCGATAGACTGCCCGGATACATGCCAGATATAGACATTTTGTTTGATGGCAGAACAAATGTCGGAATACATGTCAGGGCAGATACCAGGACCAAAGTCGGACCATGAGTCACAGCACATGGCAGACTTCACGGCAGGAAAAATGCCAGAAGACATGCCAACAAGGACGTCAAACACATTTGCCAGCCTTTATGGTAGATGATGTCAGAGCGCACATTCAAACCAGGTTTGATGCAGAAACAAGCGTCAGCGTCAGAACATTGTGTCAATCCGCATGTTTGCCTTTGTCAGGCTAGTCTGTCAATACATGTCAATACATGCGCCCTGTTTTTTCAAAATCGCCTGTCAGGGTGTGACCACTCGAAGTAAAATATGTTTTTGGAAAATGTTATTGTTGGTTGTTTCCCCTGTTCTCTCCAAAATTGAAAAAGTGCCGCACTCCAGAAATGTTTTGCTGCCAGCCCCAAGAACAAAGTTATGATCAAAACAGATCAAAACATGAACCAACCCCAAAAAACATATGAAGGTAGATGTATAGGCATAAATTATCATAGATGTACGCATGTTATAAAGCCGGGAAAAGAATTCAAACAAAACCAAACAAAAACATTATTTTTCGAAGGACGGGCCTTGCCAAATGCGCGAGTGGCAATCGACTCGACTCGTCGACGTGTCGACTCACCGAGGCTTCGATCCGCTGGTGGTGCCAACATTGGTGGATCGCCAAGAGCGACGGGTGGTGGTGGATTCCAAGGCGTGAACCGTGAACCGTGCTTGCCGTGTGCCCCTTGGAAAAACCGCCGCACGTGGGTGCGACCTGGGGGGAATATATTTATTGGGGGGGTGGAACGGGAAGGGTGATGTTGAGGTATGATTGGACATGTTTTTTTTTCTGTACTTTTTGGGTGGATCCAGAAGATATGTGGATCAGAAAATGAAGGACCTCAAAAATTTTCAAAGTGTGAGGGCCTTGTTGAAGTTTAACGTTGTTTTGTTGAATGCTAGCTGTTAGCATTGTAGAGTTGGGTGGTGGGCAATTATCCGTGAATCCGGACGACCGACACAGTCAACATATGTCGATTGATGCAAGTCAACTTAAGGAACTTCAGCCAAACCGACCCAAACATCCGCATGACCTTGGCGTTTCGTGCTATGCCATCAGTGCGCTGTGAGAATCCATTGGTCGGATGAGTTCCATCCTTCTCAGCCTGCTAGGCCATTTGCGAGTATGTGGATCAAGTTGTGCCGAAGGTTTGTTTGATTCCTCCAGAGCCTTGGCATTGTGGCATGACCAAGTCTTTGAAAGAGTTTCTGGTTGGAACAACGAACAGGTTGACCGACGACTCGCGACTCACCGGATTGGTTGAAGGGAAAGGATGTTGGTCACACATCGGACACACATCGTGTTAGAGGATTTGGGGACGGGCGACGCCACGGGGTTCTGAGGCTTCAGAGGTTCGATGGCACCCCAAGATGTCTTTGACAGGTGGGGGGTCCATATGAACCACGGTGCCATCTACTCTGAAACCACCAACAGATTTAACATTCCAGGGCATGTTTGAGTCGTTGCAATCGTGAGTACCAACTAGAATCGGCCATGCATGACAATGCTATGCTCTTGGTAACCTATATATATATATATGTAATTATATATATATACGTATCACTGTCACACAGACTCTAACATCTAACCATGGTGCAAGTCTTTGCATTTTCGTTTGGAGTCCCTTCCACCACACTGTTACTTGATGTTAACTGGTTCCATGCCGTCGCTCCAGGGACCCCCGTCCCTGCCCGACCCTTCTCAGGAGCACGCAGTGCTCATCCGAAAGCACCTGGCCCTGGTCGACGAAACTCCGCACCAGGGCATCTTGTACGGCCTGCACCTCGCAGACGTGGTTGCCGAACGGAAGGACCGTGGTCGGTGGACCGAGGTTCCGTGAAAGAGGTGACTCGAGGGGACGCGATGTAAAACATCCGTAGGCCCGACCTGGTCGGCGGAGGAAGTGAAGTTGTTATTGTAGGAGGATGTGTGTGTATAGGGGGCAATGAGATGTGAGGCAGTCTTCTATAGATGGCTATTATTAGCTTGCTAGACTGGTCGAACACAATCGAGTTTTAACTTTAGTCTCTCTTGGGAAGAGAGTGTTATACAAGAACAAACACGTTCTGCAATCCTTTCGGAGATTGTCACCTACCCTACATGTGACAGATGGATTCTATAAGAGATAGTAGTCGTTAAGATTTCTGGCGAGCTCCGAGCATCTACGTCGCAGGTGCTTTAGGTCTCCCCCAGGGCTGGAACGGGCAGAGCTTGGCGTGTTGATTTGGTTCCACTTGGTGAGAAGGAAGGGGTACACAGCCCAATATACCAGGACCCACAAGGAATGGAGACTCACAGCCAAAAGGTGGGGGGATGTTGATAGAACCTGGTCATAGGTAGGGCTTTTTCTAGTTGTGGGTTTCAAGACAGGTGGTCATTATTGGCCAATTGGGCTAGATGTACTGATTTGATCTTCAGCAGCATGAGCCTGCACAAGCCAGCAGCTTTTGCCAGACAAAGACTATACCTCGTTTGTGAGCAGCTGCCCGTTTTTGCAAAAACATAGCAAAGCGCCCAACAGGATCCATTGGTGGTGGCCTTCGCGGGTGTCATCAGCAATGCTCAAGCAGGACCGCGTTTGGGTGGCTGGAAGAGCACCACAGCGCTGGTTTTGCCGAGGAATCTCACTGAGGTATCCGCGCAGTACGTCCAACGTTTGCCCCGAAGAAGCTCCCGAATCCACAAGCCACACTGGATGAGATCGATCCAACTAAGATGCTCAGGATCCGGCACCCAATCGAAGGGCAGGGGTTGGTGTAGAGACCCGAACTCTCTGATCCTCAGGCTGAGTCCCCTGCCCTTCAAGTAGAGAGATTGCGAGGGATTATGCTCCACTTTTTGAACTTGAACCTTTGTAAGAGCTGGACATGTGGGAAATATCATTGTGAAGCAGTGAATGATAGTGAAAGTGTTTATATTTTGGACCTTTGTAACGACCAGAACGGAATCTACCAAGAGAGGCCATCTTTAGTCCCGTGGCAGCCAACCGGCTTTCTCCCCCCCACACCAATCCACCCAGGACAGCTGAAGAGCCTCCAAGCGCGGCTCGCGGAGGATTTGGCGCCAGAGTTGCGCAAGCTCTATGAGGCTAAGAAGAAGAAGACGGGTGCCTTGGCTCCTCTACTCTACTGGCACCCAGTTGGTGTGTGTCAAGGCCCAACAAGAAACATACCGAATGGATCCGAATTGCCCATTGCTAGGTTTATAGTTATTCTGTGTATGTGTTTGTGTTTTGTTTGTGGTTCTATTTTGAGCCATCGTGCCTTTCTCGATTCATGTGGTTTGACAACCACTTCCACACCAACTCGTGGGGAGATGCAATGGTTGCAGACCAGCATGTGGGTTCGATTGAAGTTGGATGATGTTGGCGCGTTTTCTTCCAGACGTTTCAGTCTGCGCGCAATTGGATCATTTTGTTCGCATTCATAAGACCTGAGACCACTCTCAAACAACTGAAGCTTTTGTTGATCACTTCAAAAGAGCTATATAGACACCAAAATTGATAGAAAAGTAGATTCCCACTACAAATGTATTGGACACCGTGCCACTATCTATTTGGGGATCACTATATATACTGCAACCTGCCCAAAACGCCCGGTGACCCTTTTGCAGAACTGGCGAAGAGCGCGGTGGGCAAGCTCAGTGGTTTGAAGGAGACGTACCGAGCGATGCTGGCAAAGGTGGGTCTACCGAGCGGCGAAGGAGGGGAGGTTCCATAAATGGTTTGGCTCAAAAATTGGCTGCCCCCCCAAAGAAGAACATTATAGTTATAAAGAATATAGGTGATGAACAGAAATGCTCACTGTTTTTTACAGATGTCGGCCTGCAACCTAACAATGATCCCCTTCATTCTTGCGAATACCCTTGAGCCAGTCCTCGAGCGTCACAGTCGTTTTCACCGCGAGCAATTCACGATTGGACCATCCTGACAGGTGGATGCCATGCTTCTAGAGTTGGAGGCTGATCTGAGGAAGACAGGCGCGAAGACGGAGAATGCCAAAGAGACGCATATTTTGCCTGGACCTTGAACAAATTGTTTAATGTTATTTGTTCCATCTCGCAGGAAAGCATTATACAGAAGGATGCAGAAAGTTCGTGACAACAACATGACACCAAAACGACGCAGAAGCGACATACGCTAAAGTTTCAATTTCGACACCAAAATTGCTTGTTGTGTTGCTTTTGTTCAGCTTCGCGTGAGAGTTTGCTCCACCAGAAACACATACGTTTTTTGTGGACGTCACAAAGATTGCAGGAGTCACAGATGCTGCGGATGCAGTTGGGGAATTGCTCTTTGGATTTGAACAGATTTGATACACATGGCGTGGCTATAGAGCACTTCTACCAATAACATAGTAGGAAGAACTAGGAAACAACTATACATGGATTTGACATCATTTCAATCTATTTCACCTGATTTGCTGTTCTTCATATTTCTTTGCCAGGTGGCCCCTATGTGTGTGGCACCACGTGCACCATGGCAGACTTGGTTTGGCATTGCAGCCTGCTACGTCTCTACGAGTTGGGTTTCGAGGATCACTATGCTCAGGACGCGCAATGAAACGCGAAACCGAGCACCCCCGCAGCGACCCGATCAGCGTGGCAGCGACCCATGTCCTTCGGCCTCCAACCTAAGGGTCAGACATGTGGATCCTTTTCGGCAAGAAAGGTCGATTTGCTGAAGGTCATCGGAATTTGTTCTATTAGAATATGACTGAACAAATCAGATGACCTTCAGCAAATATATGTCATTTAGGTCAAACAGGTACCCTATGAACCAAAGTACTCGTTAAACTGGTCCTTAACTAAAGGCCTACTTTTACTTTTGAAAGAACGTACTTTACTTTTGTCTAATCACGACTCCATTAACATGCTAGCACAGGATTTGCATGAGTGTTCATACGTTTTGCAGGTGGTCATGGCATGTTCAAGCTGCATTTTTGCAGAAGGTCGGCATCATGCATGTCCGACATATGAAAAACATGCATGGATAGAAGGATCCATTGATAAACATGGATAGATCACTGATCAACTGTCTAGATTCCATGAATTAACCCTGAGGCTCCATGTATGACACAGTTGCTTACGTGGCCATGTCTGCTCATACAACTGACGGAGGCCATGTAGTTGATTTTTAAGTACGTTCATAGTCCCATAGTCTCGGAGGATCTCGGAGGTCTCAATATGTCTCAGGCTGGCGCTTTTGAGGCCTTGCAAAACTTGAGTAGAGCAATGACTTCCAACAAACACAACATGTTTGCATGGCATCCTGATTTAGATGCTGTGGGCCATGCTTTAGAGCTATGATCGGTGCAATTGCTCGTCGTGTGGCCCTCAACTTGAGGAGTACTTGATAAAATTTTGTTGTTTCTAAGAGGGAGCCATTGGTCTTGAGGCCATCGGTGGAAAGTGCCAAACAACTATGCCCCAGCTTCTGATGTGGATGGTGCGAGCCCGCCTGCAACTGCTTTTGGTTAGTTGCTAGTGGAAACAAACACATGCAGTGGAAGGTCTTACTGTGTACCTGCCCAGGCCAATCCCTTCGCAGCCCACTTTTTTGGCCAGTCAGTAGCGTAGTTTTGCAGTGGGCCTCGGACCATGGAGGAAACCAAGGCTAGGACAGTGTGTGGGGTATCTCAACACAATCATCATGATCACAGCTATACTAGCTGTCTGTCCATTGTATAGGTGAAGCCCTCGAAGATCGATGAAGCCAGATCTACATTGCAGTACCGCATGTTGGACGACGTCATCAGATCGTTCTTGCAGAGCGATGAGAATCTAATTTCTTCGATCCGGGAGTCGAAGGACGGTGCAGAAACAAGCAACCACACTAAACTGTTATTGTTTTCATACATGTGTTGTGGCCTGAAGGAAAAAGATATCTGGGTCATCGCCCCTAATGGAGCAGAATCTGCGGAGTCGGTGCCGTTTTTTTCAGAAACAAGTCATGTGTGTCCTTTCCAAAGTTTTCCAACCAACGTCGGGTGGCGCAAGTACATACAGGTTGAAAAGAACTTTGGCTTTTTGGCACAATTCTATGGCACGTTTGCTGGTGATATCGTGCCGCCCATGACCTACTTCAAGGCTGGACTGGCTAAAAGCTCTGCAGAGCATCAACGTCTAGCGTACGCTCTGTACTCTGACTCCTTCTCCAGGACATCCTATACCAATGTGCCCGCACTTATGGTTTCTTTCCTAACGGAACCCGGAAGAAGGCACAAAAGGAGGCTCGTCTAAATCGCCTAGAATATCCAACACGATCAAACAGACCCTAAAAGCAATTTTTGGGAGTGCCATTGTTTTAACTCCAAACCCCTTCTAAGACAATTGAAAAAATCATTTGTTTTTAGGGTCTGTTGGCCTCTCTATCTTTGGCATGAGCTGTGGACCATGGTGACTTGACTAGATTCCCAGCACCTGAGGAATGGGCTCGCGATCAGGCTGGCTTGATCAGGGCCATGTGCGTCCACGGCCTGAATATTACTCGCAGAGCTGATGGTTCGAGGAAGTTTTGTTGGGAGTTAGGGCACAGTCGTCGGTAGTTTGCTAGCTCCGAAGAGTTTAAAGTTTAAACCCTCAGTAAGTTTGGAGGAGCCAACACATCATGATGCTGAAGGAACTTATTCGATCAGTGGTCGGAGGTGGGTCTGTGATGTATATATGTAGCCCTGAGATCATGTTCTCTTAAAAAGATGCCTGGCAAAGCAGTCTAACATATTCATATACATGCTCAATGCTGCAGATGCTCATGGTTCCAACAATGTTGACTCCGCTTTGGAGAAGCTCACACATTCGGCGGCTGATAATGAGGCCCTGGGTTTCAACAACACAGTAGACTGAAACATTGCAAGTGGCACTTGCTGCTTGCCTCCTTTGAAAAAATGGAAGGTCTTGGACATCGAGTTCGACTCTGCTTCGGGGCAGGAAACACCAACTTCGGCACGGGTCAGTGTCCTAGTGGAATTGCTACAGTGATGGCAATGGCAAAAACTTGTATATCAGGAAAGGCCTCACTTGGCATGTGAGGCCCTTTCTTCTGGAAGCCTTGACGAGCCGAAGGTGGTGAACCAGTTGTGAACGCGTGATTGTTTTCTTCCAGATGTTTTGTTCACTGGAGGTACCAGCAGTGGCACCACACAACATAGACAACATGGAAACGCAGGTGGTGTTGATGGAGGACCCTGCGCTTCAAAAACAGGCCTTAGGTCCTATATGTTTTGAAGAGGTGGCCGGAGAGCTCACGCATCTTCTCAGGCCACCTTGAAGTTTGAGGTTTCTTCAAAGAAAACCTGTTGGCTTTCGGGCAAAGCATACCCTACCAAAGGTGTTTAGCGGGTTTCTCGACTGTCATGGCCCGTTCATTTGTTTCAGGACTCACAGCTTGATGTGGCGGACTCCGCTTGTCAAACGGCCCATAAAGAATGAGGTGGCCTGTTCCTTTCCTTCAGGACACACAGCTTGATGTAGAGGACTCCCAAGATCTCAGGCTCACTTCAAAGGACCGCTTGCTGAATGGCCATGTGAAGAATGTAGTGGGGATGTGTTTTCACTGGACTGCCTGTCAGCACCAAACCCGGTTAAAGCTGGAGACAACACCGACGCAGCAAAGGCGCGCTGAATTATAAAAAATAGAACAACTTGTGACAACCAACAACAAGTTTTGAAGCGGTCTGCATCGTGCTTCCTACAGCGCAGGAACCATGTGAGGATAGTCGCCAGCCCGAACGTACGCGACAGGCCTTGAAGGACAGGTTGCATTACCGTGGTGCATGCTGTCCAAAATGGACGACTGCAGGACCGGGCCCCCTTGCTGCCAGAGGTTCCCAAGCTGTCTCAAGGGCTGCAGGCCTGACAGCGCGTGGAATGCAATACAGTACATGCACTGATGAATACAAGCGCATGCTCTTTCACCGCAGCTCAAATGGAATAACCCTCAAACAAGTCAATGTGTGTGTATCTCATCTGTGGCTGCCAGGACCAGGTTGAATCAATGTTGGCGACATGAAGAATGCGGACCCAGACGTTTTGGCAGCTCTTACTAAGGCTTGAACTTTAGTTTAAAGTTCCGTTTGAATGTTCATGAAATGGATCTTTTTGTTTCGCAGGTCCGTGACGCGGCTCGTCAACAAGCCGCTGCAAAAGCGCAAAGCAAGGGAAAGGGCAGGGGGCGGGGCCGTGGGAAGCAAGAGAAAAAACGAGACCCAGTCACAGAATCTGTGGATGAGCAACAGCCAAGCAAGAGAGTGAAAGGAGATTCAGGGTCGATGGAGCCATCTGCAGAAAGCGCAAAGCCTGCAGTGGAGCCCAGTGCAGAACATGATGTAGGCACCTTGGAGCCTGCCCCAGAAGGCAAAGAGACCAAAGCGCCGAAGGCCCGAGCCTCCAAACCCCAACCCGCCCGTGAAGAGATCAGCGCAGCGTGGGCCGAGAAGGACACTACAGTTTCCACCAAGCTTGTAGCTACAGTGGAATCACTGGATTAGCAAAACCAAGGTATAGGGCACATACTAAATGTTGGTGTTGGGGAACAACGGGCTGAATAAATCGGTGGTGATTTGGTAATCAACTTTGAAATGCTGTTTGTATTGCAGAAAAAGTTGTGCCAACACAAATGAAGGGTTGACGTTTCACTAATCCTATGATTCCATTGGTCACTACTGCCTTTATGCAACGGCCTTGCACGCCTTTGTGACTGTTTAATGTTATTCTATTTGTGGCCCCCTTTCCAGGAGAAAGTCTTCAAGGAACTTGGAATTCCAGTGCCAGGTGGATTTTGTGGGACCAAAAAGAGCTACACCATCTTTCCAGCTGATCCACAACAGAGCTCCGCAATCGGCGTTCTGCTGCGGTCTTAGCCTTTCGAACGCCAACAAATCTCCGCTCCCCAAACAACTGAAGTGCCGCGCTTGTAGGTGGTGGGCCAACATGTTCTACATCAATTCGGCCAAGAATGTGCGTGATGGGTTCACTGTCAACAAGCATGGAGGAACCACAGTGAGTGTGTTGAAGAGAGGTGGGCTCAAAGCGGCCTGGGCAGTGACTTGCGATATTGCAGCATGGCCCTTGGTTGTGGACCGGCCCACGCCGGCTTCTCCTCCGGCGTGATCACGGTCAACCAGTTTTATGGGGATGCGCAGTCCAGCACATGGCTTGCAGTTTTCTGAAACTCACAAACTGAGTGAAGTGGTTTTTGTCATGTTGCTGCAAGCGGTGTGGCGCTCATGGACAGGTTTGAGGCCTTTTGTTTGATCTGGCCTGACGTAGTGATTGCCTGGTTGAAATCCAAAAGAGTGCAGTTACATCTGCAAGGTCTTTAATGCTTGTGTTGGAGCTTTCCACCTTCAGCCTTTGAAGCCAATGCGTGGCCTGTTGTATGCAGGTTCCAAGTTTAAAGTGCAACTTTTGCAGTGCAGCTGGGCTCTTTCGGAAAGTGTTTTCGGGCAAAAGCGAAATGGAAGGTCACGGTCCCATGGTACACAGCCGTATGTGGTTATCAGCCCGGGTGGCTGCGACCATACTACTCCTCGGCGGGCCTCCCATACTGAA